ACACACACACCACACACACACACACAGACACACACAGACACACACACAGACACACCACACACACACACATACACACACACAGACACACACACACACACACACACACATACACAGCCCTTCAAGTGCCTCTCTCTGCACCAGCTGCCTTGGCCATCAAGACTGCCCATCTGCGCTCTCTCTTGCTTCTCTTCTCTGTTTCACTGGAGGTGCTGATGAGAGGCAGTGTGGGGAGCCCCGGGGAGGAGAAGGGAAGACTTTTGGGTTCAGGCAACCATGAACTGAATTAACTCTCCCAGTGAGACCTTGTGTAGTTAGTGATGACCTCAGACACACCGAGACTGGATCACTTACTCCCGTGGGAACCGTGGGCACACGTTTCCTGTGTCCTCGCCTGTGTCCTGCTCCCAGAAATACCTTCGATCTCTCAGAAGCAGTGTTTATAGGATACCTCGCTATTTGAGTGGTGCTACAGTTCTTGTCAATAATATGGATGATACCCTGCGCCACCTAAGCCTAGGTGATTGAATTCACTCCATATTTTCTCTTCTGTATGGTCACTCCACCCTTTTGTCCTTTCTCGTGTGTGTGTGTGTGTGTGTGTGTGTGTGTGTGTGTGTGTGTGTGTATGCTCACGTGCACCTGACAGTCTCCCTGGCACTCATGGCGGGTAGTGCTCCTGGGGCTTGGCTCATAGTGATGATGAGACCTCTGTGTACCTGTTGATGGGAATAGAAATCATAAAATGTTCCTTTTTTATATATAAGGAAAGTGATGTGTATATATACATATATATATGTATACACACACACACACACACACACACACACACACACACACACACACACACACACGGAAGGTGCTGCTTGGGACTGGCTGTGCCTGTTTTCTTTGGGGCTTTGGTTACTGGATACTTAACACTGATTCTAGGCCCTGGGGGAGGGTGGCTTGAGGCTCCCACCAAAGCCAGACCCATCAGTTGTGACTAGGAATGGAAAACGTGCCCCTGTGTCTCCTGTGGTTTGGTTTGGTGTCTGGGGATTAGCATCAGCTTCCTGCACATTCGACAGGTATGAGCTCTACGCTGAGCTTCATTCCCAGTTCCTCCCGATGGAGGGGGTGGATCCAGAATAGTGGTGACTGTCAACAGTTCCTGTGTGTGTGTATGAGCGCGCGCGCGCGCGCGCGCGCGTGTGTGTGTGTGTGTGTGTGTGTGTGTGTGTACATATGTGTGTATATGTATACATATGTGTGTATATATGTGTATGTATATGTATGTATATATGTGTGCATATGAATAGGTGTGTGTATACGTGTATGTATATGTATGTATATATGTGTGCATATGAATTGGTGTGTGTATATGTGTGCATGCATGTACACTGGGGCCTGTGCATGTGTGTAGGCCAGCAGACAACCTTGGTGTAGTTCTTAAGCAAGCCATCCTCCACCTCCCTCCTTCTCTCCTCCCTCCCCCC